TCCTCCCCATGCTGTTCTTTCTGTTTCTTAGTTATTTTTAGATACCTTTCATGGTTATGCCCCATCTCTATGCCATCGGTTGCTATCCCCTTGGTCCACTCCCCTTCCCCTTATGGGGGCATTGCTATTTTATCCTCCGGTGCTACTAAGAAAGTGTCCTTTCTTGCTAAATAAAAATCAAATTGAATCCCAACTTTATGTTTTATACAAAGGTGAGCTCCAGATAAAAACCTACATTTAAGGTTGTACTCTACAGATAATAGAAAAAAATGCAACACGGTAACTTTGTGACTAGGGGGAAGAGAAATCTTGCACAAGACCTCCATGTTGTAAAAACTGAGTAGATATTATTAAGTCAAACGATGCACTTTTTTACTTATTTCACTCCATTACGTTCCCAAAAGGTTAAGTGAGTGTATATGAGGACGAATAAAGTTACATTCAGGTAAGATCGTCTTAGATCCTCCTCGCTAGCATTTGCCAAACAGCCGTGCTGCTGCACGAAAGGACACATTATGGAAATGCTGAATGTGAAGGCTCTGGAGTTAAGGAAAGTGTCCAAGTCATAACAGATTTATCTCCCACTAAGTTTATTATTTGGGGGCACTGACACTATCTGAAGATTGACAGTCCTCTGATTCCATTTGTTTGTAGCTGTGCATTGGTGACTAGCCAGCTGGGCAGTGAGTTGGCAATGTCTAATAAGATTGTCTTCCGTGATTGAAACAAATGACTCTCTTTTTGTCATCAGAAAGGGAACCTTTATGCATTTGTTTTAGTAATACAAGATCTGACATCATTAATAATCCAGGCTTTTGACTTGTGCTTGTTGAATACAATAGATGAATGAAAAATTTAATTTTTTAGTAGATCATAAGAGATGTGCCAATAGATCAAAAATAATTTAGGCAGAGTACCTTTGATGCATGAGACATTCCATTGTCTCTACTCTTTGTTAGGTCAGCTAGCATGTGCATGCTGATATCATCCCTTGTGAGCCCTGTGGATGCTATAGTGTAGTGTTCCGATACTTTTAACAACTGGCTCTATCTCTCCAACTTTTCTTCTACCACTCTCCAGGATGACCCAACTTTGCCCACCAAATAAATTGGTACCAGGACTTTAAGGATGAATTGCAAACTCCTTCCTTGATACGTCTTTTTCTTGCTGAAACTCATGTGAGGAACACCCTCTCTCTTTGATATTACATGTAATTCATCTTATTGTAAGATTCTCATTTAAAGCTCACTTATGGGGTATAGTTCTCGGATTCATCCCTCAAATTAAGCACTTAAAATCTTGACTATATAGGATTTTGCTTTCTATTCCATTCCTCTCCAAGAGCTTTGTTTATCCTTGGCTTTGAACAGGTAATCCCCTCCACGAAGTTGGAGACCATGTATTTGAATGTTTTTACCTTTCAATCCTCATCAACCTATATAGTTTGATTTCATGGAATCATTCAAGTTGTTCCTTTATTTTTACATGTAGTTGACACATAATAGTCGTACCTATTTATGGGATACAGTGTGATTTTGGATACATTTGTACAATGTTTGAAGATCAAATCAGGATAATTAGCATTTGTTTATTTGGGAACCCTTGAACTCTTCTCAACTAGTTATTTTAGATACATGGTAAATTGTTGTAAACTAGAGTCATGCTAAATTGTTTCTTAAAATGTCTCATTTTTCAGCAGTGCTAGAAAAGAAATGGTAGAATAGGGCCTCTCTAAAGCAGAGTAACACTCAGCACAGAAACCTATTTTAGAGCAACCCAGGGAAGCTTTAAAAAAATCCCAGTTTTGTAATCTCAGAACTCTAGGAGGCTGAGGCTGGAGGATCTCAAATTTGAGTCCCACCTGGTCAACTTAGTTTCAAAATTAAAAAAAAAAAAGTAAGGGTATAGCTTAGTGCAAAGGCTGTGAGTTCAGTACCAAGTACAGTGATACCTTGGTTGTCGAACAGTGCCAAGCTCGAAATTTGCACTTCTCAAGCAGTGAAGTTAAAAGAGAAAGTCAATGTTTGTAACGTGCTCAATAACCGATGGAAAATCCAACTTGAAAAACTCCACTCTTGTATGTTTTGGGTTTTATTTACTGTGAGTTAAAACATTTGTATTGTGTTTTTTGTTTTGTTTTGTTTTTGTCTTTTTGAGACAGAGTCTCGCTATGCAGTTCAAGCTGGCCTTGAGCTCACTTTGTAGGCCAGGCTGGTCCCTAACTTGCAACTATCCTCCTGCCTCAGCCTCCCAAGTGCTGGGATTACAGGCGCGCACCACCACGCCTGGCTCTGTATTGTGCTTTTATTTTGTGCTTTATTTGCATAAAATATCGTAAGCATGGCTCCAAAGGAAGTTAATGATGCCAGCAGTAAAGCTAAGAGGAAAACTGTGAGAACTACAACCGAGTTAAAGAAAATCATTACAAAATTTGTTAAAGTCCTGGAAAAAAATGAATTTGTAAGTGTAACTTTGGGGGCCTCAGAGTCAATCATTTGGTTTTCCATTATTTCTTATGGGAAAATTCAGTTATTGAACTTTTCATGAATTTGGAATGAATTGAGGTTGACAACTGAGGTATCAGTATACCCCACCCCCCAAAATTGAGTTCTGTAGCTGTTCACGGGAAGAAGGAGCTTGGCACTGTCAGCCTTAGCTGTTCCTTGTAGACTCTTTGGAGCTGCTTCCTTGGCTCGGTACTTGTAGAGGTGACTAAGCCTCCTGACGCATCCGTGTGTAAGTTATATTTGGAGGTATGCAGCCACGGAACAGTGCCGGAGATGCTGGGTGACAGACAATAGTTGGAAATAGCTGATTTTTGCTTAAAATGAAGACTGTGAAAATGCATTAAAGACACACCTTTGCTTGCTGCTCCTAAAGAACACATACAAGGTATGATGGGAGAATACAGTGAATGTTCAATTAAAAATTAATACAAGAAAAGACACATTGCCATGATTCCCCCGTCAAACTCCTCCTTACGTCACACGCACTTATTCCCTCACTCTCGCCCCTTTCTGGAGCAGGTCTGGAATTCCTCTTTCACAAGTGTCTTCAGCTGAGCTGTCGTGGCTGCCTCATGTTCTGAATTACTTCACAACTTTACCTTCCATGGTCATTTTGACTTTGAGGAAGAGCCAGAAGTTACACGGCTCCAGATCTGGTGAAGAAGGTGGGTAAGGACACACTGTAATGTTTTGACAAGCGTACTTTTTTGCTGGATGGCAGGAAGCAGCCGCGTTCATTGTATTTTTGATCACACCTTATAAAGACACCCACGAGAGGCCAGGGCTATAGCTCAGTGGCAGAGCACCTGCCTGCCAAGCTCAAAGTTCGATTCCTGGTACCAAGAAAAACAAGTAAGTAAATAAATAAAAACACCCAGGAAAGAGGACTTCCAGACCTGCTGCAGAAAATAGCACGACCAATGGGATAAGTATGTTTAAAGCAAGAAGGAATACATTGAGGGAGAATAATGGAAATATCTTTTATTGTAGTAAATTAAAAAAATTTAAATACACAATATATTTTGATCACCCTTATATTCCAGTGTCAAAATAAAGATAAGCAACAGTAATCATGAAATACTGACAGCAGAAATGTGACCAAATGACATCACTGCCCTTGCTATTATTACCCTTGGCTGAAATTTTTGATCTTTCAGAAAATTACTTTTTCCCCTGAAATATATGCTGTGGATATCCATCAGCTATACATCTTCAAGTACGTTTTTAAAAATAGGACTACAAATTTTTCTGTTTTTTTTCTCTTATAGGAATATTGTTGGATACTGCAAAGAAAACTCTAAAGGAATTCAACGGTTGTAGTATCAGAACTATCATCACCTCTTTTCTGATCTCTAGCATTAGAAAGATTGTGATTCTTGGAATTAATTCTCTCCTTACTTTGGCCATGAGGGTTCTTAGATAAAACTGTCCAAACTCCCAAGAGTGGAAAGAGCTTGCAATTTTTCTGCTTGTCTCTTGTCCTTAACTTACCATTTTCTTGCCCACTTTCCCCTTCGCTATGCTATGTATATTTTACTCTTTTGACTTGATTCCTTTCTTTAAAAAATAAACTTACTATTTTGGGATAACTGCAGGTTCACATTCAGAAAAAAAATAACACAGAGAGAGCTAGCATAGTCTTCAATAGGTGTCCCCAAAAGATAGCACCTTGTGTAAGAATAGTACAAGAACACAATCAAGAAATTGACATTGATATAATATACTAATGTTATACAGATTGACTATATTTTATAAGCTTCTAGAAATCACTTATGAAAAGAGGCAGATACAAATTAACAAATATAAATGCTCACTTAATAATGAACATAGAGGAGTTTTATGATGTAATTGATAGATTCTATGTGTTTTTAGTAATTAAAAGCTGTTTAATTTTTGGAATAAAGAATATGTATGCTGATCTCCTGCTGCCAAAGTCCAACGATGGGCCAGCCCAGCACCATCTTTGGACAGATGGACTGGTGGCCAAGCTCTTGATTAGAGCCTTCTGTTTTCCAGATGTAGCATACAGCTGGCTTCGAAAAGCATAGACGGAAGCTCCTCACTGCCTCCTGTGGGACAGTTCCTGGAGGCCAGTGGGTGCTGTTCTGTAGAAGTTTAGTTTGTTTGTAATTAAGAGTCTAAATGCAGCATAGCAATTGAATACAACTGGAACAATAACTTGGCCTTGAAGGATGGCCTGCAAACATACAGGAGTTTGTTTTGAAGTGAGATTTTTATGTAACTAGAATTAGTTGGCATAAAGGTCCTGGAAAGAAAGTTTGGGTTATGATCCTATGTCTTGTACATTTTTCAAAATTTTAGTAGTTGCCTATTTTAAGGTAATTCCTTTATATTTCTTAAATGTATTTGGAAAATAACAAGCTCTGGGAATGAACTATGGTTTAAGGCAAATTTAATAACCTTCTTCCCTTCTGCTAATGACTGGTGCAGGGGTGGACCCGTGACTCTTTTGTGCCCTAGTTTGTAGAAGGGCAAGTGATTCAATGGAGAATTTTGCTGCCCCAGTTGTTTCAAAAGAAAGTGCAGTGAGTTAGCATGCCGGTTTCTGAAATAAAAATGTGGGAATGTGGGATGATACTGAGACTCAAACTGCTATCCGTGCTGCAGCCTTGGGTTAAATGCTAACATGCTGACACGCACAGGGCCAGAAGGTCTCAAGATCCTGTGTCCTTGATGATGGTAGCTATGGAACCGTGAGCCTCTGGATGTCTTGCTAGACAAGCCACAGTGTCCTCTGTTGCCATGGTATGTTGATTGTAGTCAAATGCCTTACAACTTTTCATAAATGCATTGAGTTTCAAATGCTGGGATTTTCAGAAGTGTCTTATGGATATGGTGGCTGTGCATACTTCATATTTCAAAAGAACCCCAATTTTAAGTGTGCCTTCTGCCCTCTTAATGTGCTGTAGAAGTAAGAACAAAATGTTATTTATAAAAAAATATAAAAATGAGGCATACTCATCCATGTGCAAAACCTTCATCAGTGAAGCTCTTGGGTACAGTGTCAGACAGAGGCCCAGACCCTACATGGGAGACACGCCTCATTTCCAGACTAGCAGCTCTTGCCTTCAATGAGCCAGGCACTGGCTTGGTTCCAAGGGTCCTGAGGAGAAGGATGCCTTCTCTCACTGTGACTAGCTCAAAACCTGGAGGTGCATGTAGGAAATAAACCAGTTATCTTCTGCAGAGGAAAATAGCTAAGAGCCAAGAATGACTTACGTCAGAGGCCTGGGGTAGGGGACCTAGCACACATAGGCTGGTAGGTCTCAAGCAATGGATGTGAGCCTCTGGTTCATCCACCACTGTGCAATCAGTCTCAGTTCCCTACATCTGAGAAGGAGGTGATAACTGCTTACTACTCCTGGCTGAGTGTGGGGGCCAGGCCCCAGCAAGCGTGCTCTCCTCCCTGCCTATCAGGGATACTGTGGTCCAGAAGAGTCTTTACTCAGTGATGCCAGGAGCATGACTTCGCAATACCAAGAGAGGGGAAAGCTGTCATCACAACGTGCTTCTTAGCAATTTTCCCTTCTGTTGCCAGCATCTGTTGGGCTTTGTCTACCAAGTAGTTGCGGAGATTTCTCAAAGGAAGGGGAGGAAAATCCATCTTGTTCTCCTGGTGGCTCAGACATCCTAGGCACAGGCTGCTTTTACTTTCCATGGTCATAGGGAACCATAAAAAATGATTTGCCAGCTGAAACCATGTGTCTTCATTCGTTTTGTGCTGTTATAACAGAATACCACAGACTGGCTAGTACATAAGCAATTTATTTCTCACCATTCTGGAGACTGGAAGATCTACCATCAAGGTGCTGGCCCTCTGATGAGGGCCTTCCTGCTTCACTACCCCATGGCAGAAGGTGAAAGGGCAGCAGAGCTTGAGAGAGTAAGTGAGTGGAACAGGAGCTCACCTTGTTGTCCTAAGAAGCCTACTCTTGCAAAACCAACCCACTCTCGTAGAGCCCTCAGGATCTTACCACCTGATATCAGCTTCTACCTCTCTACATTGTTGCGTTGAGGATTCAGGATAAACGTTGAAGAACAAACACAAGCCATAGCATCATGCAAAGAAAAGAAAAACAATTCCACAGAGAAAGGAAAGTTCCAAGTTTTGAAATATATTTAGTTAAGGAATCACACCATGACAGCAGATCATTTGTACTTAAAATAAGTCTGGCAACCCTCTCAGTTTGCTCCTTAAACAAAAAGCTTTCTGTTAAGGTGCAGAGATAAGAGAACCTGGGAGTGGGCCCATGTGGATGTTTACAGGAGGGGTGTTCCTTGTGTTACCGTAACAGCCGTCTGAATTCCCTTCACTGAAATTGGTATACTCCAGTTGGTGCTGCTGCAGTAGATGCCTATGGTAATGAGGTTTCTCTACATTTGAGCAGCCCTTTCCATTAGGAAAGTGGGATTTGTCTGGAGAGAATGAAGTACTAAAAGAACTGTGGAAATAAGGGACAATCGTTGAGGCAGAAAGCTATCAAGAAGAAAAGAAAGGGTGCGGGAAGGGATGAGAGCAGGCGGAAAGAAAATGCTATCAGAGTTCAGTGAGGGCACAAAGGAAACACATCACTCCTCGCTGGGCGTGTTTTAGAAGAATGACTCCAGCTGGATAAAAGGAGAAGGATCTCTGGGGTCCGTGTGGTGATTTTTCTCTGAAGACTCGGATGTTTTCCTTTCTTGGCATGTGGTGTCTCTTAGATTCTGTTGGTTGTGAGAAGAGGCAGAGATGTATCCAGGTGCTGGCTAGGGGGTTGCCACCTTCCTTAGACCTGAAGCGCTTGGGAAAGGTATGCATGGGAAAAGGAGTTGTAGATAAAGGCTGTGGGTACAGGTAGACAAGAACAGCAATTGAAAACTGAGGCTCAGAAGTCCTCACCATTCCAGCCTCCTACCAGGCTTTCTATGGTGTGCAGGATAAGAAAAGTTGGTTTTACAGTCATATTTTTAACATATGAAAAGAGTGTTTTGGGTGAGGCACATAGGCGTAGACATGTGATCGACAAAGTCCTATGTAACTAACAAATGCTTTCTTGGTTTTTATTTTTATTTTTTATTTTTTAAATTTATTTTTATGATTTTTTGTTTGTTTCTTTTTTTTTCTGGTACCAGGAATCGAACTTACGACCTTGCGCTTGCCAGGCAGGTGCTGTGCCGCTGAGCTAAATCCCCAGACTGCTTTCTTGGTTTTAAAAGAAACAAAAAACAAATGTATCAGATATTCTTTTCAGAAACCCCTCCCATTTTCCCTTTTCCTTCAAAGATGGCCAATGAGTGAGCTGAGTCGTGGGAATCTTCAGCTGTGTCTGTGTTCCGCCCGCTTCCTGCTCACCAAAGTTGAGTGTGCAGGCTCCTCACGAACACAAAGGGGAATGTATCGATCCCTTCCTCTAAAGCCATACATTTTAATATAGTTTAACATACCAGGTTGTCAGGCTTTGATCTCTTGGGTCATAGTTCAAACTCTTCTAATTCTATTGCCTATATTTCTAAATTTTTAAGGCATTTTCAAGCACAAGTCAATCAGTGTCAATAAAATGAAAAAGGGGAAGAAGAAAGAAAAGCCCAGTGTCACCCTTTGTGCAGACTGATAGCTTTTGTGTGATCTCTTCAGGGACATGATGGTAGCTCTTGTTATTTAATTAGGAATTTCTTTTCCTTCTGTGTCAGAGAATACAAGGAAGCACAAGTTTTTCTGAGCTCTTGTTAACTTTTGAGGTAAAGAGAAACCTCCTTAGCCTAAAGGAAAATAAATCCCTATGGTAGATGGATGTGATGTTTAATTTCATTGGTCAGTCAGCCAGTCAGTCAGCAGTCTGGTCAAGCACTAGTCCAGATGTTGCTGTGAAGATGCATTTTCAACGTGATTAACATTTACATTCAATTGACTGTACGTACAGGATATTACCTGCATAATTTGGGTGAACTTCATCTATTTATGGAAGGTGCTCAGAACAAAGACTTAGGTTCCTCAAAGAAGGAATTCTGCCTCTTTCATCAACAAAATTCTTCCTGAGTGTCCAGCCTTGCAAATCAAGATGGCAGTGTCACTCTCGCTTAAGCCTGTTGGCTTTCCCCAGGGAGTTTGGATTTGCTAGCTCCCACAATCATGTAAGCCAGTTCCTTAAAATATTATTGGCTCTGTCTCCCTGGAGAAGCCTAAGGCACTGGAGGAAAGGACTTGGAGTCAGGGCCCATCAGCAGAGAGATGTGTTTGTTCATTGGCCACAGCACCAAGCACAGATGACCTACACCTGTGTGTGTGGCAGCTATGGTAGGAGGTTTCCCTACCAGATTCCTGGTAGACACCAGATGGTTCACACCAGCGCTTCACTGAAGAGACTGTCTCAACAGTGAAGGACTTGAAGAATCAAAAACACAGTGTGTAAAGCGGGGAGCATGAGAGAAATCTGTTAGTACCCCCCCACAAGGGAAAGGGGGAGGCAATGACAGAAATTAGGACTCAAGACCAACATACACAGCGTGGCCAGAGCTGAGGTTGGCACAGAGAGTGTGGAAGGAGTCAGTGCCCTGGCGCTTCTCTTTTCTAACCCCAAACTCCTGCCAGGGCCTCCCATTGGCTGATCCAATGCGGAACCTCAGGGCAAGGAGGTCCCTGGTGACGTTCCTAGGGCCAGCCTCCCGGGGACACCAAACAGAGAAGCGAAGAGAAAAGCAGGGAGTGGAGTTAGGAAGGAACAAAGAGGATAAGAGATTGCAGGGAATCTGTCTCTTGAGAATTCATGATAAGTCACTTTCTTTCAGTGCATTATGAGCTTGAACTTACTAATAGAAGAAACAGAAATAGATTATCTTTGGTGATGTGGTTACTCTTAGTAAGACACTAGGGGCATGTAAATGCATATTCTTTGACATGGGTGAGGAGAAGCCTTAGTTTCTCTTGGGCGCAGGAGCTAGGGGTTTAGCTTAATCCTGATGCTCAGCCACTTGAGAGCAAAGAGTCTTGGATGTAGATCCTGCCCTCCTTCTGCTTCCCCCAGCCCCTGTCTAAGTAGCTAGATCTCCATCGTGCCCCTAGTTACAGGGCGGCACAATGTGAACAACTTAAGACACATGCTGTGGTATAAAGGTTCGTTACTGGTGAGCATTTCATTCACAGAAACTAGCATCTAGTTTTCTGTGATAAAATAAGGTCTCAACCTCTTAAGTGAGCGTTTGATTTATATGTCTTTGGGTTGCGAAGTAATAGCTTTGGAGGATATGGGAGTAATTTATAACACTAACTTCACTTGACTTGCCTTAAAGCAATTGATGTGATAGCTCTTGAATTTAAATGTTTGTTTAAATTATCCTGAACACTGTGTCTTTAGTGGGGTTTTAATAATCATTTGCTTGTGTTATTGATTTTCTATTAAATCCCAGTACACCACCTCTGTGCAAATGAACAATTCTTGAGTCAGGATATGTTAGGTACTTAATTAACACATACTTGAGGCGGGAAATGCACGAAAGCCTGGCTAGATAGAGATTAGAAGAGTCTCATGGGCAGATGGGTCAGGGAGATAAGCAAGTGTGCTGTGTGGTAGGAGCCTGATAGAGACATATGCAAGGGACAGAGCCATCCTAGACCTTTGACCAGGGTAAGGTGAGCAGAGAAGGCAACAAATGAGTGGAATGTTAAAGGAAGGCTTAGCATTAGCTCCACGGCTGAGGGGACAGCCATGGGCATAGCATACCGTTAGGGATGGTCCAACTTGGAACAGGAGGGAGGTTGTGGGTGGGGACAGGGGCTGACGAGGAGTTGGTATTCCATGGTGCAGTCTGGACCTTATGGTGAGTCCAAGGAGGGACCCAGAGTCTTCCAAGTAGGGAAGGGACACGGTAGCATTTTAATTGGGTAAAGAAAAACAATGTGTGTGTTGAAGATAGGAAGAGGATGGACTGGAGGGAAGTGGGACCAGAGTGAAGAGACAAGGCTGGTCAGCAGACTGGACATGAAACCTAAGGATAAAGGATAAAACCATGTGTGAAAGCCAGGTGCAGGAGATGCGTGAGTTGGAAAAGTATAAAGGCATTTCTGAGATGTAATAACAGGACTTTATCCCGATCATGAATATGCGTCTGACTTGGTTGACAAGACAGATAATCAACTCAAGTAATAAAGGAGGAGAAGAAGAGGCTGAGGTGGGAAAAGCTCAGCTTGGTTGTGAATCACATAGGACGTCAGTGCAAGTGGCCAGAGAAGGGAGAAGACAGAGACCTAACAGATGGGAAGTAGATGTGGAATGAACTTGTCGTTAACACTCTTAGGTGGGTAGGCAGCATAAAGCAATAGTTGAGGACCACAGTAGTTAGAGAATAAGACACTCAAAGATGAGTAGACTATTCTCTGTGCTTTTGTGAATGTTCGAAATAGCTCATCATTAAAAAAAAAAACAGATGAAAGAAGATATCCTTTTTTGTTTTTTATTTTATTTTATTTTATTTTTTTGGTTTTTCTCCGGTACCGGGAACCGAACTCACGACCTTGCGCTTGCCAGGCAGGCGCTTTTGCCGCTGAGCTAAATCCCCAGCCCCGATATCCTTTTTTGGAGACTGAGATGCAACAGCTATGAAGCTGAGAATTCATGGAATGAAAATGTTACAGAAATGGGAAAACATGGGCCTTGTGCATAGAGATAAAGACCTGGATGATTCCATGGGATTTGGAAGTTAATGGAGTCAGGAGGGGTTGAGCCCAGGGTGGCTGTGGTGGGATTGGGGAATAAGAGGGAGGGGCAGAAGCAGAGAGAGGGAAGGCTAGGCTACTCATTCAAGAAATTTCACTGGGAAGAGAAGAAAAGAGTTAGGTAGAGGAGTACGGGGATCCAGGGAACCATGTATTTCTTTTCTTTTTAGGGTAGGCAGAGCATGGACATATCATCAGCATGAAATCAGCGCCAGGAGGAGAGATGTTCTGGATTCTTGTGATGATGTGATGACACAAAGAAGCCTTTGAGGAGGTGATACAATGGTTGTAGGCACAGGTGAGTCCACGAAATAGAGACTATCAGCAGAAAATAGAGGCTTCTGATTTCAAGGGGAGCAATTGCAGGTACTTTTTGTGGAAAAGCATGAGGAGTTCAAGGAACTGAACTGGTCCAGGGAGACATGTAAGGATCAAACACTGCAAGTGATGTGTCCAGTGAGTGTGGGGGAGGAAGGAGAAAAAGCAGAAACAGCACCAAGAGAAGTTGGTAGTTCCCTGGGAGAAAGGAGGAGGAAAGACAAAGTCAGGTCCAGCCCTGTCTGCCTAGAAAGCCCGTCAGTGGGTGTGGAATGGGCTCCACTCACATCCAACTGATTCACGAAGGACACAGGGGAACCCAGACTTCAGCTGGAATTGTTGAGTCAGTTGAATCAGGACAAGGAGTGGCATTTGGGTCCATGACTGTCTGAAAACGAAGGATCCAGAGGGTCCTGAGAGTGGAGAGAAGGGAGCGTTAAGAAAACAGACAACAGAGGAAGAAACAAGGCCACAGTTCTGTAGTTTAAATGTTTCCAACTTATGCCATCCAGGAGGGCCATTTATAATCTTCCTTTCTTACTTGAGGCAAGGGCCATTCCCATGGGCCATATTTGAAGCATAAGTTCTCACTAGGAGTAAGAACATGAGCTTTGGCAACTGAAGTGTAATTTCTTTGTCCCTGCTGCCTGTATTTACCAGCCATTCACTGAAATTTCACCATCATATTGCTCTAAAGACAGAAAAGCTGGTTATTAAAATGAGCCTTTTATAAGATTACTGGTATGTAAGTTTAGTTAGCACAAAATTAAAGCAATCTTCTTTATTCATATGTACAAATAAATATATATTTTATTATATATGTGAAGTTATGTGAAGTTAAGTAGCAATCTAGTAATGCTCCTTCATGGTCTCCCTGATTGGTTTGTATGTAGGTATATCATTATATACTTATAATGTATACCTATGTCTATACTACCTCTCTGTCTCTGCCTCTCTGTCTTCTGTTATGGTAAGAGGAAGGAAAATACTGCAATGTGTGTTAGGACATTGTGGGGGTGAAATCTTCAGACTTACCAGAGCTAAATCACTTTGAAATCTGTGCTTTTAATCTAGAAGTTTTGGTAAAGTTCATTTGCAAGCAGTTGAATGCAATCAGTCAGCCAGAATTTTCTACCTGAATTATAAGACCATGTTGCTATGCAAAGACCTTGAAAGAGCAAGAAATGACATAAAATTTATGACATAATTTTCTAAATGACCAGCCATCACTTCTCTAAGAAATGCTATCTTCATTTGTAACTCTCAGGATACCCTGAAATTTATAATACAAATAAGATTTCTGTGGTATTGAGTCCGCAACCCACACATAACAGGCCAGTATATCTTCATTAACAAGAAACATTTCTATTGATTTCATTTTGTGATGTTTCATATTACATATAACAAATATGTATGGTCACCTAAATGAATTATTACAATCCAATTTGAAATGATTGCATAGGGTTATTGTATTATCTCTAGGATGCTTTAGTCTCTGGGTGTCAAAACTGTTTTTATTTAATGGAATAACATGGAAAAGTTAATCAGAGTAGGTTAACCTCTGTGGAACTGAAGGTCACATGCATTTACTCTCTGTTGGAAATAGGGGAGCTTTCAGGTTTGAATTCTGGCTGGGGGTGAGAGAAGGTGGAAGCGGAAACAACCTCGATTTAATGCCTCTGTTTCCTCTACTCTCACCAGTATCATTTGGCTTTAGGGGCTTTTCAATAACTGGATTTTTTATTAAAAAATTCCTGCAAAGAAAATAAAATTAAACAAGCAATACAAACATAATGAAAAATCAATACTGCAGTTAACATTTCTATTGTATATTATTGAACGGCTTGACTTCAGGCCCATTCAGCTTTGCGTACACATACACAACGGCCCAGAGTTTCTGAGTAGAGCTGGAGTAAGGTTGAAGAACTGCAAAGAAAGAATCATCTTCTCAAAATTGTATTTCCAAGAAAGACGATGTTTTCTATAACTGAGCTCTTTCCCTGCAAGGCCAGGAATATGGGGGCGGAAACTTCCCTTTTGTTTAATTAACATCTTGCATTTGGTGAGCACACAGAACGTATTTCGACTAGAGTTTACTGAGCATGTCAAAACTTCTTATTCCCATGGTGCTTTCCCTTTCAGAGCAGTTTCTGCACAGTTAGGCTTTTGCCATAGTGAACATTTTCTCTCTCTCTCCCTCGCTTTTATTTATTTATTTATTTATTTATTTTTGTTCTTGCTTGCTCTTGTAGGACTTGAATGCAGAGATGTACAGCTGGAAAGGCTTTCAATTAAAGGTTCAGGGGAAAGCACTGACTATGTATTAATTCCTATAAGTTTCTGAAGTTCCTTTAGACTCCTGGTCAAGATGGCCGCCTGAGATCATTGGTGCACCCCTTTCTGCTCTAACAATAAAGCATAGAAAGGCACAGATGTGCTCAAGAGCTGGAAAGGAAGATCTCCAGACACCAGAAACAGGAAGCAGAGGTGGATCAGAAGAAGACCTGGGGCCTCTGGATAAAGGCATCGAGCGTGAGTGTGGGCTACTCAGTGTACTAACAGCGTGTCCAGCTGCAAGGCTGTGGGGTGGTTTTACACGGGCATTCAAAGCTTTGCCCATTCGCTAGTCCTAGGTGCGGGCTTTGTATTCTGGACTTTGAGTAGAGACATTGTTGCTGGGGGGAATCAGAGTGCATAAGCTTGCGTTGTCTGTGTGAGAGCAGGTGTATCCAGATAGGTTGCAGGGTAAAATAGCTTACTGCAAAGCCAGTTAGCATAGCAATAAATGCAAAAATTGACTCAGAACTGGTAGAATTCATGGGGTCTGCAGAAGAACTATTAGTCACTTCCATAATCCAGGGCACATAGGTTACATTTCTCTAGGACCCAACATATGTCAAAGACACACATTGCATGGCTGTCCATTTTTATTTTCCTAAAGTACCTAAAAAATTACAAATGTGCAGACATTTATCCCTTGAGAGAGACAGCAAACACCTGCAAAAAATGGGAGAATTCACAAAGAACTACAGATAAGAGTAATGCCCAAGGAGTTTAAAATAGGCATGATTTAAATGTTAAAAGTGACAAACAAATGGGTAGATTTCACAATGTAAAATAAAAGAAAAGCAAGTGGGGTTGAGAAAGAAACAAAAGATTACTAGTGCAACTGAAGAAAGAAATAATTTTGAAAATAAAGCTGAAAAATGCTCAGAAGTAGGAGAAAGATAAGTGGTGAAAAAAGTGAAACATAAATGCAGACGATAAACATAAAACAAGGATATCCAAAAAAGTTAATAGGAGTTCCAGAAGGAAGTTATGGAGCAAGAGGGAGAGACAACACTGGCAGAGAATACTGGTAAAAATTATTAGAGTATTTTTCAGTAGCACCCTACACCTTGAGGAGGACACATAAGTTTACATGTTCTAGCACATTATAGTGAAGCTATTTAATAGGGAGAATGATACAAATATATTTAAAAAGTGCACCTTATAGAAGCAATAGTCACGCGGACAGAATATGTCTCAGTGGCAACAACAGGTGTCAGAGATGATTGAACTCTACGTGATAAAAGAAGACAGCCATGAACCTCACATCTGTACTCAGTTAAGAGATCACTCAGGAGGGAGATGAGCTTCTCCCAGCAGTTAGAAGCCTGCGCTGCTGCACCATCATCATCACCTTCCCTCAAAAATCTTCAATAAAATATTCTCACTCCCTGGTTATATTAAATGAAGGGAAAATAAATATATTTGCAGATATCCGAAGGGTAGGAGATGCTCCCTGAAAGATCAAATCATGTCATACTGAAAGAAGGGGACACAAAGGCAAGCTGAGAGATTGGTGAAAAATATTTTGCAAATCCTTAAGTATGATATCAATGTCATCAATATTTGCGAGGCTATTTAAAATGTAAAGGAAATAAGATACTGGACAGTAGTCCATGGATGATAGGTAAGTGAAATTTTGGGGCAAATTACAGAGGTCTTAAGATCCAAATGGGGAGAGGAGAGAAATGGGTCAGCTTCAAAATATGAAAAATTATACTGTTTTCTTAACATGATGTTAATTATGCATAATACTATTGTTACAATTTATATCGAGCTGTCCCCCAAAGCCTCATGGGCTTATAGGTGGGGTTTGGGGAGGTAATTGGACATTGGCACATGTATCTCATCAGTGCATTAGTCCATTGAGCTTATAGCTGACTTGCTGTTAAGAGACCGGCCACTAGGGGCATGGTTTGTCCTACTCCTCCCTATGTTTTCTCTGCTTCTTGGTTTCCATGCCATGAACCACTTCTCCTCTGTGATACCCCTGTGCCATATGCTCCTACTTTGGAGCCAGTGAACTATGAATTGAAACCTTTATAAATTTGAGCAAAAATAAACCTTTTCTCTTTTAAATTGTGGGTGTCAGGTGTTGTGTTTCAGAGACAAGAAAAATGACTATGACAACTATATTAATGAAGGTGTAGAAGTATAGACATAGAATTCAAAAAAGCAGAGTAAAAGCAGGATAAAAAGAAACATACAGAGAAGATGTCAGAAAGAGAAAAAGGAAAGAAGGAAGAAAGAAAAGGAAGGAAAGGAGAAGGCAGGAGAATTGTAGTAAAAATAGATCAAAATGAATGATTAGTAATCAAAATAAATGTAAATGGATTAAACTTTTTTTGTAAAACAGCAGACTCACAGGTTCAATAAAAGTTTCTTTGTTCCTTGGATATTCTGAGAAAGCCCTATGTCCCCTATCAGCATGAGGAGAGGTAATGTTTTGTGGCAAAAGCAATGGCATGTGACCATTGTTTGGAAGCCAAGTGTTATCTGACATATTTTTAAAGGTATGATCATAGTCAAGACTAGACATCTCCTCTAATGTCCTGATTTGTATCTCCAGAGGCAGGGTTAGGATGGTTGATTTTGATAGCTCTACTCAGATCTAGTGGACAGAGGAAAGCTGAAGAGGCAGCAAGTCTGCTTCCATGTGGAGCAGATGGAAGGATGCCAAAATGCAGGCTGAATAGTTACATGACTCATAACATGGTTGAATGGCTTTATTCAAAGTGTGCTGAAAACCGGATCAATGGCCACATCAGAAAGGTTTCCAGTGGAAAAAAGACTTTGGGATTTTAATTGAGTTTTGGCTCAATATGATGTGGTTACCAGATCAGTAATATGATTTTAGAAGGCAATAATGGAGGCAGATTGTCCATAATTATGGGGGTGACAGAAAATCTCCACTGGCTTTTATCAGACCAGAACTGGAAAAATGAATTTACTACCAGATTATGAAAGAAACACTGATAAACAAAGGTAGATCCAGATGGCATCAGCTAGAGGCTAAGTGTTAGTCAAACACTGTGCATGAACTCTTGAAGGAATAGGGAGGATGCTTGTCTTAGAGGAGACATGCCAGTTGTTTCTGAATATATCATTGGCTGTCATGGTGCATGGGGAATCTTTATGGTTTCAGTAAACTGAACCAGAACCACTAGGAACTATGTGACCAAACTATTAAAAATGGATGGACAGTTACAAGACAGAGCTTCCTGTAATGGAAAGAGACCAACCAAAATCAGACCAGTGTGCTGTTGGCAGAACTACAAGGGATTAATGTACTAAGTTTGTGATGGGAGCGTTTGTCCCTAATGTCCCCCTCCTACTTTAAGATCTTGATTCTGTTTTGCCCATGACACTTCCAGTGAGTATCCAGGGTAGGATGTTGCTTTTTATATCCCGCTCTACCCTCTCTTCAAGCCCCATGTCCCTTTGTGATGCTGACAAAATAAGGCAAGTTCTGACAATAAACTAGGGAAGAAAATATTTAGGGAATCCTTTCACCTGAGCACCTGAGCTCAGGGAGTTGCAATTCATGTGTGTGTGTGTGTGTGTGTGTGTGTGTGTAATATGTACATATATTATAAGTAAAATATACATCCAAATTTAGGTTTCTCTAGAAGCAGATCTGGACAAGGATTCTAGCTCTATAAGTAATTTTTGTGGAACAGTAGAGCTTAATCTCCTGGGAGACTCTGGGAAAGACTATCAAACATGAATTCAAGATTTTTCTTTCCATCTCAGGGTAGATTTATTCAGCAGCTCCCATCAGTCCCTGAGTGAGGAGTTTCCTGTCAATTTCAACATGAGATGGCTGAGATCAGGCCCTGGTGGCAAAGAAAGCCTCCCAGGTACTGGGTGCAGGTTCTGGAAGTTAGGAAAGGGAACAGCCAAGGGGCATAGGTGGGCACCTGTTGTGTCCACTGCAGTGTGTGTGTTATAACGTCAGGGTGTACATGTTAGCTTCGGGTGCTGCTTGCACTGGGTTGACTGTGGTTATACAGAGTCCACTGCAGTAGACAGTAGTTGGGATGAGAAAGAACGACCAAGTGCTCCAGGGCTGGCTGCAGCTTTGCTGTCATCGCTTTGGACTGTGCCTGAGACTGTCCTGTCCTGTGTGTATTTTGGTGGCAGTAATAGCAGTGATACCACAATTTTCAATCCTATCTTTGTGGGCCGAGGATTTAGCTCAGCGGCACAAGTGCCTGCCTGGCAAGCGCAAGGTCCTGAGTTTGATTCCCGGTACCAAAAAACCAAAACAAACCAAAACAAAACACACTGCCAATCCCATCTCTGTAACTTGGTTTTTGTCTTTAAACCAGTAGGCTTTTATAGCTTCTGGCAGAGCGCTTACTCTCACACCCTCTCCTTTCTTCCTCCTTGGAGAACCTTGTTTGGAGTAGGGTTGATGCTTGTTTCTAGACAGTGGTCAAAACAAAGGTGCATTCCTAGATGCAGATGTAGAACTTCAAACCAGACACACACACACACACACACACACACAGCCCTCTTTTTATATGTGCGCACTTGTTACAAATCTGAACACTTTACTTGCTCCCAGGTTATTTGGTTGGGAGCAGTTCGGGTGAGGACAAGGTCTCTATAGCTCCAGCTGCTGGCAGCCAGTGGCCTGCTTATCAGAGTCACATGATTCTGTGGATGAGCCTTCTGCTACATAGCTAGTGTTGGGTTAGAACAGAAATGCAATTCTGTTCCGTAAGTCCAATTTCCACCTAGTCTCTGGAAATGAATGATGGAAGAATTGGGCCTGTGTGACTGTCACAGTATAAAGGATTTCCATTGACCCAAAGGCCTGATGGAATTTCAATCTCAGGCTCTGAGTCCCTCTGCTCTGCCTCCGCCTCCTCAAGGGATAGGTGCAGAGTCCACAGTCAGCGGAACAAAGGCCAGGCAGGGTCATTAATATTTTAAAAAGATAGGCATGGAAATGACATTATTAATGACACATCGCTCCTCCAGGGTGATCTGGAGGAGGCTGGGAGTAAGGAGGTGAGAGCTCTTCAGGAAGTTCCTATGGCAACTTGGTGCACGTCTGATGTCAGATTCTCAAGCTGTATTGTAGGAATAAACACATTCTGTTTACTAATCCTTGTCTTCCCTGCCCCAGTGAGTCCCCTCATGGGGCCTGTCTTGGATGCTGTGTTTCTCATTCCCACTACTGTGAACTAAGCAGT